TACTTTTCTATAATTTTGTTAGAATGAGAAGTATAAGGAAGCTAGTTGGTTGGTCCTACTTTTACTAGACAAAGTGATGAAATAAAGAGATGTGCTCAGGATTTTAGAGTTACAGCTCAAGCACTGTATAAAAGAACTCAAAGTTGCCACTTGCGCCTTGAAAGAAAGCCTTATTTCTTGCAGTAACAGAGCTGATACTGCTGAAAATCAAACCGAGAGTCTTATCATAAAAGTGGCTGAATTACAACGCCAATTGAATTCCCAACCTCAAATGGTGTCTTAAGTTAAAGGGAGGGCATTTTTTCATTGACTGGGAAAAAATGGGATCCTGAATCTTGGGATGGGGACATATGGGCAGATTGTCGGGAAGCTGGGGACACTGATCCTCTAAATTGTGTTGAATCACTCCTGCCAACAGAACCAGCCCTCTTACCCCCATCCAATGAGATTAACCCAGATGTGCCTGTAGAATCCTTGTATGATACTGCTTGGGGCAGCGCCTGAGGCACATGCCTTATAAGATATTGCTGAATGTCACCAGGACACACCCCACCACCTATTTTTACTTCTAGACCTACAGACTTAAGTCTCAGCGAGCCCCAGAAGATGAAGTACAAAGCATGACCCATGAGGAGGTATGCTACACTCCAAAAGAACTGATGACTTTTCTAATATAGACAACTGAAACCTGGGGAATATGTGTGGGAATGGCTACTACAGGTGTGGGGTAATGGTGCAAGGAGCATAAAGTTGGATCAGTCTGAATTTATTGATATAGGCCCACTAAGTCAGATTCTTAATTCAAGGTTTCAGCTCAAGAGGTTAGAAAAGGATCTAATAGTTTACTTAGTTGGTTTGCTGAAGCCTGGATTAACTGGTGGCCTGCACTAAATCAAGTTGAAGTATCAGACCTGCCTTGGTATACCACAGAAGGAAGTATCCAAAGGCTTAGGGAAATTGGCATATTATAGTGATTTATCAGGTTAGACCCAAAGATCTACCCATGGGGTGCCTAGAAGACACACCTTTGACTACAATGGTGAGGAATAGATTTGTGAAGGGAGCCCCAGCATCCTTGAAGACTGCCATAATTGCTGTTTTATGTAAGTCACAACTGACAGTGGGAACTGCCCTAACTGAATTAAGACACCTAACTGCAGTAGGGCTGATTGGACCTGTGGTGGCAGGGGCCAAGTGGCAGCACTTACTTGACAAAGACAAGGTGGGCATGGTTACTGTAATGGACAGCAGAGTCAAAGCAGTAATCAGACTAGTCTGACTTGTAAGGACTTATGGTATTATCTACTTAGTCATGGTGTCCCTAGAAGTGAAATAGATGGGAGATCTACCAAATATTTTCTTGATGTGTACAAGTGGAGGAATTCTAGGTCAAGTGAATGGCAATCTAACTTGATTCACCAGAACACAGAGTCATGGTCCCTCAATCAATTCCTGAACTTGAGCCAGTTTATAGACCCACAACACCTTGAATGAAGCGGAGGCCGGATTCACTTGAGGAATGACCATACTGCACTGCCAAAAATTTATACGGTTAATCTTTCTCCCAGCCTTCCCCAAAGGGATATATGACCTTTTATGAAAGTGATTGCTCACTGGGGAAAAGGAAATAATCAGACTTTGGGGGATTACTGGGCACTGGCTCTGAATTGACACTAATACTCAAAAGAAGTGGCCCAAATGCCCATGGTCTCCACTCCTGTCACATTACCTTCCCTCTCCCATGTAGGTGAGCTTTGGCCTCGTGGGGAGTTCCTTATGATCAGCTGACTGAGGAAGAGAAAATTTGTGCCTGATTTACAGATGGTTCTGTGCAATAGCAATATGCAGGCACCACTTGAAGGTGGACAGTGACAGTACTGCAGCCCCTTTCTGGGGCCTCCCTGAAGAACCGTGGTGAAGGAAATCCTCCCAATGGGCAGAACTTCGAGCAGTGCACCTGGTTGTTCACTTTGCTTGGAAGGAGAAATGACCAGATGTGCAACTGTAGACTGACTCATGGGCTGTGGCCAATGGTTTGGCTGGATGGTCAGGAATTTGGAAGGAACATGATTGGATAATTGGTGACAAGAAGGTATGGCGAAGAAGTATGTGGATAGACCTCTCTGAATGAGCCAAAGAAGTGGAGATACTTGTGTCTCATGTGAATGCTCAGCAAAGAGTGACCTTGACAGAGGAAGATTTTAACAACCAAGTGGCTAGGATAATGTGTTCTGTGGAAACCAGTCTCCTCTTTCCCGAGCCACTCCTGTTATTGCCCAATAGGCTCATGAACAAAGCGGCCATGGTGGCAGAGATGGAGGTTATGCATAGATTCAGCAATGTGGACTTCCACTTAACAAGGTCGACCTGGCTATAGCCACTGTTGAGTGCCCAATGTCCCAGAGACCAACACTGAGTCCCTGATACGGTACCATTCCTTGACGTGATAAGCAAGCAACCTGGTGGAAAGTTGATTATGCTGGACCACTTCCATCATGGGGAGGGAAGGAGTTTGTTCTCACTGGGATAGATACTTAACTCTGGATACAGATTAGCTTTCCCTGCATGCAATGCTTTTGCCAAAACGACCATCCACAGACTCACAGAATGCCTTATCCACCATCATGGCACCCCACACAGCATTGCCTCGGATCAAGGGACTCATTTCACAGCAAATGAAGTATGGCAGTGGGCCCTTGCTCATGGAATTCACCGGTCTTATCATGTCCCCCATCATTCCGAAGTAGCTGGCTTGATAGAATGATGGTATGATCTTCTGAAGACACAATTATACTGCCAGCTAGGTGGCAATACTTTGCCAGGGTGGGGCAATTTTCTTCAGGAGGCTGTATATGCTCTAAACTAGCATCTAATATATGGTGCTGTTTTTCCCATAGCCAGGATTCACAGTTTCAGGAATCGAGGGGGTGGAGATGGGAGTGGCACCACTTACTATTACTCCTAGTAACCCACTTGTAAAATTTTTACTTCTTGTCCCCACAGCCCTATCTCTGTGGGTCTAGAGGTGTTAGTTCCAAAGGGCGAAATGCTCCCACCTGGAGACACAACACTGATTCCATTGAACTGGAAGCTAAGATTGCCACTCAGCCGCTTTGGGCTCCTCATGTCTCTGGATGAACAGGTGAAGAGGACTGTTACCATATTGGTTGGTGTGACTGATACTGATTATCAAGTGGAAATAGGATTGATATTGCTTAACGGAGGTAAAGAAGAGTATGCCTGGAATAAAGGAGATCCCTTAGGGCATCTCGTATTACTAACATGTCCTGTGTTTAAAGGCAATGGAAAAATACAGCAACCCAATTCTGACATGATTACTAATAGCCCAGACCCTTCAGGAATGAAGGTTTGAGTCACCTCACTAGGCAAAGAACCACAACCAGCTGAGGTGGTTGCTGAGGCTAAAGGGAATATGGAATGGGTGGTGGAAGAAGGTAGTTCTAAATACCAGTTATGACTACATGACCACTGCAGAAATGGGGTCTGTAATTGTTTTTTAGTATTTCTTCCATGTTTTGTTATACATGTACGTGTGTATAGAAGACTATCTGAATCTCCAATTTATAGGACTAATTCTAGTCCTACCTTCTTCCAGTTTTCAGTAAACAGAAAGAAATTTATTCACAGGTATAATATGACAAACCAAGGGCCAAGTTTGGAGATATTAAATCTATCTGGAGGGTGAAGAGAGACTTAATGTAAAAGGTAATATTAAACTTGGAGGGATCATAAACAAGGACACCAGTTAGGTACTACTGAAACAGGGAAGGCAGCAGAAAATGAGGTCCTGAATTAGGCCGCTGGCAAAGAGAATAGAAAAAGACTACCACACTATCCACTCTCATTAATCAGCTGGGGAGCACTAGAAAGATATGATGAGTCCTGGGAGCTAGGTGTACATCTTAGCAGATGCGTATTCTTAGCAATACAGAGAAACATTTATACACAAAACAAAAGAGGTAGCCTTTTCTTTAGTTATCATTCTGTTTTTGTTTTTTATTTATTTTTGTTGCTGTTGTTGTTCAGAGGAAAAATAATCAGAAGTCAAGGATGTTTAAAAATAAAATCTAACCTCAATCCATTGAAAATGAGAAATAAGACTGAAGCTTGGGAGAGACTCTTTTAGAATACTACATGAAAATGGGCTAATACTGTTACATGACAGAGAAGCATAAAAAAAAATCAGTAGATAATTAATCAGGCTAAATATTGAAACAATCCATAAGCCTGGTTAGAAATAAAATAATATAAATTTAATTATTAATTGTTAATTTCTTCCTTAACAGCAAGGAAACAAATTTCATCATATAGAAATTTCAAAAGTATCAGAATTTCAGAGAAAAACTGGCAATTTGGAGAAAAAGAAGATAATATCTTAAAAAAGGAAAAACTTTAACTCACACAAAATTTGTGAAATATTCTCTAAGTATTTCATATGTACCTAGTATTTACACAGCAGTTTTTGTCATTATGTAAGGAAAATTCATAAATGAATTTTTTCGCAGATAAAAAAATCTATTCTTTGAATACTGCAATCCTCCTACTAATTCCTAGCACTGCATCCATTTTCTTACTTATCATTTAAGAAATAAAAGTCTATGTGTTCCTGCTCTCCCATTAACCAAACCCAAAATAATCCCCTTGCCACTGAGTTGATTCCAACTCATAGTGACCCTATAGGACAGAGTAGAACTGCCCCAAAGAGGGGCTGGTGGATTTGAACTGCTAACCTTTTGGTTAGCAGCTGAGCTCTTAACCACTGTACCACCAGGGCTCCCTCCCATTAAAAGTATGCCTTAAAGTTTTTCTAGATTACATACCCTTTAGTGTCAGTAAAACTATGTGCTTACAAAGGCCTAATATCTCAAGATTAGTCAAGTTGTCACGATGTACAATTCAATTTTATTTTGATCAGCAAGTGGGATGTGACAAGAGCCAGAAGGCTGGGGGAAAGCATGAAAGAGAGATGCCCTACTCACCAAACCACGCCTGCTGGTCTCCTTGAACTTCTATGGCTAAGCCAAAGTCTGCCAGTTTCACAGCTGCTCCTTTGGATTTGCTAGCTAAAAGCAAATTCTCAGGCTTTATTTAGAAAGAAAAAAAGAGACTGGAGTAAGTACCTATTTTAAGTGATTAGCCAAAATTAACATTTTACAAGATTAGAAGAAAAAAAAAAAAAAGTCATGCACTGTCCTCTTGCCTGGAGACTGCCATTCCTAAATCCCAGAGAAAACATGGTTAGCAAATGATTAAAAATTGTCATGTGTGCAGGCTTCAGACAGATGCATAAATATACCGGAGAGATACTGGGTGGAAGAGAAAATACACTTGGGGCGAGATCAAATGAAGGGGAGCACCTGTCTTGACCTGCTCACATGCTTCCAAGGGCCACCTGACGTCCAGAGTTGGCCATAGACACTGATTTAGAAGCCTAACACAGCAGAGACATTTTCAGCAGAAGGAAACTTGGCAAAATGATAACAAGTGTTGGACCAATCTACAGACATTTGGCAAATGAAACTGCACAAATTAAGTCCTAGCTGACTTCAACAGTTTGGACCCAAATGTGGTGATTTTGATTCCTCAATGTTTCCAAACAATTTCCATACAAATTTTGGAGATTTATTCTGACTTACTTATTAAAACTGCTGTCTTTAAGAATCTGTTTATTCTTAAAGGCATAAAGAGTGTACTACTATTTGCCAAATGTTACAGTTAGTTTTTTTTTAACATAACTTAGATTTCTTCATAGTGTGACTCAAAACATCACTTACATATATATTTTCACATCTAAGAATTCCATGAGAAAGATTTTTACTTTCTTGGGTATTTATCGTTACTCAAGGACTGATTACTCAGTCTTGGAATAAGGCTGTGTCTATACCACTGCTTCCCAACTAGTGCATCAAGACTTATTGGTGCTTTGAAAAGAAGCACCAGGGGAAATTTTGTAATTTCTCTGAACCCCACTTTTTGGATTTTAAGAAACGAAGAGAGAAAATGGTCAGGAAAAGGAGGTCGATTAATATATATATGTAGTAAAGTCTTTATATGCCCAGGTTTATCTGGATGAACATACGATGGATTGGAATACATACAGGAGAATAGTTCAAAGTTTTCCAGCCATGGGATAGGACTCAGCAAATTTAGAGGTGTGTCTTAGACTGAAAAAAGTTGGGAAACAATGGACTCTACAAGTGTCAAAACAACTGTTCAAAAATCTAGAAATTCAGTCCATCAAATTAGTTTTATTTATACGTTGACAACTAATTTCATATTTTTCATGGAATTGGCTATTTTTTTTTTTTTTACTAAATTAGTTGATTCTGTTGGTTGTTTTGACCTTGTGTAAACACAGCCCAAACCAGTATTTAATTTATTAATTAAGCCAGCCATGCAAATTAGCAAAGACCCATAACCAGAACTTGGAAGAAATTAGGTTAAATCTATAGAAAACATCAGAGTGTGGGCAAGTAAATTCTAATCAAGTACCAGACTTTTCAGGCTATTGCTGCTCACTGCCATCAGACTCATTATTATTATGACAATTGGTAAATGTGAGGAAACCTTCATAATTTTCTAGGGCTCACAGAGTTTTGGAACTACCTCAACAACTGAAAACATAATAATTTATTCTGAGGTTGGGAAGAAGACGTCTTAAGAATACGAAGGATCTCCATGCTGGAATAACTTTTAGTAAAACCTAACATTCATAATTACTTGGAACTCTGGCTATCTATCTGTATAGCATCTAACCATGCTATACTATTATATTTGGCATTTTATTTTCACAACTAAAATTTATGGTCTACATTCATACACTTTTAAAATATAATCAAGATATTTTCCAGCTTTTAGTTTGTGGAAGAAATAACTTAGAAAAATCAAATCAAACTGCAAGCAACAGCTGATTCTACTTCTTTGTGACCTTCAATTTCAAATACATTGAAATGTCAGAGATTTCGGCTAATACATATATGCCCTAATTTGTCAGCCACAGACTAATTCAAGGGAAGAGTTCCAATCACTTTAGAAATCATTAGTCATTTTAGGTCTTTTAAGTCAAGTGGTATTGAAGTTTGTTGAGCAAATGCCAGTATCATTAGTGAACAAATTAAAAAAAAAAATAAATGTGCTTTTACTCTTATAACTAAATCAAAAAGCTTCTGGGCAGTGCTGTGTGCATTATGCCCTTAAACACCACGTATCTGCCAATTCAGAATAAACGGAACGCCTCAGGTTTTTATCATGCATGAACTTTGAATGACTGGGGCAAGTATTCATAACTAGAGATGACCTAGAAGACCTCACTGTAGGGCCTTGTGAGTCATCCAGGAAAATAATAAATTCATCTGGATAAGTGTTTCACTTTGTACCCATGAAGACTGTTCGGCTGCAGTTATGTACAGGAAAAGGCAGGGCTATTTCAAAGCAATTACAGTATACAGTTTTAAAAATTAATAGGACTGAAGTAGCTTCATGTTTATGTATATCCTTAGGCAAATCTACAGTATAGAATCATGGAATGCAAACTGAAAAATTAGGATGATTTCTGGTACTATTAAAGGACTGTTTGCTTTATAAAATGTTTCAACACGAGACTGCCTTAAGGGCCAGCTTCAAAGAGACATTACAAATATCACACAAATTTGATTTATATGCAACTCTTTGGAATATATCAGTTTGGATAATCCTGTTATCATATTTTGCAAGGGTGGGGGAGGTTTAATCACCAAGAACTTCTAAAGCAACAACTTAACCAGAACAGCCACATTAATTCTGGTTTTCTTTAATCACTCTCACCCAGCGGCCTCCAATTTAAAACTAAGTTGTTTTACAAAAGTTCATTGGCAAGTAGGTTAGTTTGAATTCTGAGTGTCTACAGAAAGAAAGGTAATTTGTGGTTATTGTCTACAAAAGATAAAAGAGTAGAATTTCTCACCTAATCAGTGGCTACTTCCTTAGAAAGGATCACCACTAGACTCTTACCTGCCACTATTCAACTATTTCGATTTCTGAAAACTAATGATAAAGGTGAGGTCAGACACATATATCTTCCAATACACTTACAGTCATTACCATGGGGACATGGCACTGTGAGAGAGATGGCCAGCATGATGATATAGAAAGAGGGTGAAGATCTGGGTTCAGCCCTTAATGTTACTAACTACCTGAACTTGGGCAACTCTTGGAGGTAATTAATAAGTTTCTTCATCTCTCAAATGGACGTTACAAAGATGATATTATATCTCGTAAAAGTACATACAGAATGATGAAATCCAATGGGATTTTATTAGAGGAACTCTGTCCTCTGTAAGGGACAATGTTCACGTTAATAATTAGCTATTATACTCCAGTGTAGCTGGCCACTTCAATGTGCAGAACATTCATTATGTGTAATGAATGTTCATAACTTGAGGAATGTCTGTACTCCTAATGTAAATGTAGTCTATTATGTTAGTCTTCATATATTGAGAATGTCTCCAAATTCTTACAGGGCAATCATTTTTAAGGTTATTTTTTAAATAGATTCTATTGACATTCTCACACATAGGTTCCTTCCCCACCCCATTGCTTCCTAATGATGCAGGATTTTCCGTGACATCTGGTCTCAATGTCAACAACCATTTATAGCATATCAGCTGTAATGAGCAGCAACTGTTAGCAAGTTTTGTTCTGTACTTGCATATGAATACAATAGCAACTTCTTTCTTTGTGATTTGAGATTTTCTTGAAACTGTACAAATATCTCAGAGTACCTAGGCATGTTGCTGGAATACTTTTAGAACTAGAAGAGACCTTGGAGATAATCCAAACTCTTTAGTTTTCAAATGAGGTAGGGAGGTCCAGAAAGATGAAGCAAGGACTTGAAACCAGATTTCCTGATTCCTTCATTTTAAGGATTGATGCTGAGGAAACTCCTCAGGTGGCTATAAAAATGGTTCATTTTCAAAAAGATAGCCCATTCAGTCGAAGTTTTTTAGAAGAATGTTACGTACTCAAAAAATTTACTACTCATAGTCCAAATTAGTAAAACAAGGGATAAATTTATGATAAAGACATGGTTTTAATCTTGCTTCTTAAAAACGTCATAAACACATCATGAGGATTTCTAAATCAGTGTGTCCTTCACTAAGAAATTGATTTGGCAATGATCATCTTCAGCATTAGTCATATCACAATTTATCTGTGCACATATCTGATAACTAGTGAATGAAATATATATAATTATATATTTTACTTTTCTTTTTATGCTTTTTTCTTTATATTATAAAAGCAGCAAGTTATTAATTTTTTTTATTTTTCCATATTATTTGATTCCTACATTCTCTTGGATATTTTTTTAAGGAGTAAAAATTGTTTTTTTTTTTTTTTTAGTTTCTCTCCTCTATTAGAAAGTCTTGATATTTCAACAGAAGCTGAACATCACCAACACATCTCTCACGTATTTTTAAATTATCTTCAACTCAATGGACTGGTGGGTTCCATGTCTATGAGGTCTGTTTCTGTTTTGCTCTTATTTTTTTATACCTGAACTTCAAGCCATCGTGTCATGAATGTCTGATATTGAGTTATACCAACCTGCTCCCTATTAAGTAATCTATTTTTCAACACCCATAACTGATTGTTTTGGTGTGGCCTAAATTAAATGTGGCAAATGCATTTAATCCTTCTCTATGTATCATTTTCCAAAGGCTATGGCCAGTGCCACATTACTGATTTTCTAAATAGGAAATTTTTACTTCATACACCAGTCTATTTAAAATAATGTTGCCTTGCACTCACTATTATATTTTAAATATACCTTCTCCTCTTTATTCCCAATGATATTGGTTTTTTATAGCTCTAGAAGGTTCATACATATGACTATTTTAATCTTTTGATTCACTAAACTTAGAACAATTTTCCACAATAATTCTTAAAGCTGATGGTAAAATTATTTTCCCATCATTGTTTTGGTCTCTGTAAAGTTATTCAATTCATCCAACTAACTGAACTGAGGAGTAGTAGTCGTAAGCATGCAGACCTTGGAACCAAATTGCTTGGGCGCAAATCATCTTGCTAGCTAAGTAACCTCAAATAAGTTATTTCACTGATTTTTGCTAATTCTTCCCTTATGTAATATGGGGATAATCACAGTTCCTTCCTGATAAAGTTGTTGTGAAGATTCATATGATAACTTGGTACATGGTACAAGGTATATGGTACCTGCCTGATAAATGGCAGCAATTATCATTTCTATTATTGAAGTCCTGCCTTGATCCAAACTCATCCAAGGACGAGAGTCATATTTCTGAACTACTGTACTATAATTATATTACCTTTGCTAGATGTCCCTGATACTACCTCTGTCTTTCTGGATGATGTTGATCTATTAGCCTGTCACTGGATACACCTCAGACAAAAGGTTGTGGCCCATGTATTCACTGGGTACAGCCTGGTGCTGACTGATGTACTTCTTTTATGCTAATACTTCATCACCCTGAACCTTCTCCTATTGCTTGTTTCTGGGACATCCTCAAACTGTCTCTGTGTCTCAGCCTTATGCTGAGGTCCTGATAATTTTCCATCAGGTGTATTCCACTGCCTAATGAGCCCCCAAGAGTGGCAGTTATTCAAATATTGAAAGTGATCTTTATGCTAAAGACATACATATCCTCTGTTTTATTCAATATTAACATCCTTAACAATCTATTTTAATCAATGTTGCCTTTTATATTGTAAATGTACTTTCGGTTGAACTTCATTCATTTCTAACTTCAAGGAATATGCCTCAAGTATTTACAAGGAATAAGGCAAATACAAATGTTATTAAATGTTCTTTGAGGAGGGGCTTACAAACAAACTGCACATCACACATATGCTTATAGGTGCCTTTGATAATCATGACAAACGTAAGACTTTCTGTATTTTCTTCCCGATATGAACAAATTAAACAATGTGCATCAAACATCTGTATTATACATGAATTAGTATAAGAATCTGGATAAGAAAATAAAAATGTATGGCCTAAGAATAGTAAGGGCAACTTTTTGTTTTAAAATCTGGTAATAGGAAAGTTAAGCAGTTGCTCCCCATTTTCATTTTCATACATTGTTAAAATGGAAATCTATAGTTTCCATTCATTTAATGTTTTAGAAGAATATATCTCTAAAGTCTACAGTGGTTTACACGAAGACTGATTTTCAACAAATCACTGCCTAAGTTTACTGGCTATGTTTATCAAATGGAGTGCACGTGGTAGATATAAAAGACACAAAACAAAGTCAACACACTCAAGGTGTGGATAAATTGCCTCTAATGCACAAGTTTTGGACTCTTGTACTATGTTTATGAAATGGCTTACTAAAATCAGCACTGAGAACCAGACTCAATGGAAGTCTACCAAACTTAGCAATCTGACAGAAATTAAGACAGAAATCTTAGAAATAATAACAAGCTCTATCAGAAGTTGCTTTAGTATGGGGGAACATCTCTGTCTTCAGAATGAAGAATAGACAGCAAAAACATTTTTCTCCTTGAAAGGAATATGATGGGTGCTGCAGCAGGCTATCTCTTTGGGTATCAAGCCTCCCTAGAAATCACCTGCCCAAGATTTTAATTATTGCCCTCTGTTTAGCTCACGTCAGAAAATAATTCTTCCTTGGCAGTCTACATTCTAGTCCTGCTGCCACCTCTGATTCAAGTTCTGGTCTTTGAAGAGCTCAGCTGAGTCTGGACACATATAGAAGTTCAATATCATGACCCTACAAAGTATATTTTAAAAGTTATGGAAGAAAAATCACATTTTTCATCCTTGGCTTTTACAGTACACTTACGGTTATACAATATGGAATGAAGTGTTTTAAATGATAAATTTATTAAAGAGTATCTGATAATATAGCACAAATAATGTGACTGTCCATATATGTTCACTTAAAAAGGAATGCAGCACTGTGGGTTCTGAGAGCTAACAAAAAGGGGCTCTGTCTACTTGGCTAGTAAGGAATCTTTAAGGCGATCGCCAAAGACATGAGTTTTCAAAGGAACATGCTGTTTTTCCTTTATCCTAAAGGATAAATGTGGTAAGCATTAGCAGATGTACACAGTCTTATCTTGGCTCTTCAAAAGAAAATGCCCTTAACCAAACCTTTGCTTTTGATACTGAAAGCTCTCAGAATCAGGCTGAAGTCAGAGAGATTTCAGAAAACTAAGCCAATGCTGTGTTTACAAATCACATCTTTGTGTAAATCACCGTGGATCTTTATAAACCCATTGCCTGAAGTTGATTCCAACTCACAGCCACCCTACAGGACAGAGTAGAACTGCCCTGTACGGTTTCCAAAGGGCAGCGGGTAGATCTGAACTGTAGACCTTTCGGTGAGCAGCCAAGTGCTTAACCAGTGCACCACCAGGGTTCCTTATGTTTTAGAATAGTACATCTGTATAAAGATACATGCAGCCCTGGTGGCACAGTGGTTAAGCACTTGGCTGCTAATCAAAAGGTCGGCAGTTTGAACTCACCAGTCACTCCAGGAGGAAGATGTGGCAGTCTGCTTCCGTAAAGATTTACAGCCTTGGAAACCCTATGGGGCAGTTCTACTCTGTCCTATAGGGTCGCTATGAGTCGGAATCAACTCGATGGCAATGGGTTTATTCTAAAACATATTAAATGAGTGAAAACTATAGATTTACAATTTACTATAACTCTAGAGAAGTTTGTATGTAAGAAACCAGTCTAGGTCCTCCCACTGAACCCATACAGTTCTGTTGTTTCTGATGTTAGTCGATTCCAACTCACGGCAACCCCATGTGTGAAAAGTAGAACTGCTCCACAGGGTTTTCAAGGCTGTGACCTTTCGGAAGCAGATCACCAGGCCTGTCTTCCAAAAGGCCTCTGGGTGAGTTTGAACTGCCAACCTTTATGCTAGTAGCTGAGCGCTTAACAGTTTGTGTCACATAAATATTATTTTATGGTAAATTTGTTTTACATTTTTTCATTTGTAGTTTTCAAAAGGCACCAGTATCTTGACCTCTGTGAATATAGCTAAAGAACCAAGAAGTCTCAGTGTCCTTAGAATTCCTAAGAACTAATGTTAAGGGAAAGAGAATTTTAGAGCCCAAAATGGGGTTCTGAAGGGGTAAAACACCTGGGCCACAAGTCTACTTAATAGCTGTATCTCTACTTACTATATAATTTTGATAAGCATTTACATAAAGTTAGGTATGTATTGTATGAGTGTAAAATAGTATGTTTGTTCAATGTCCACAGAACTAGTTTAGAATGAAGAAGAGATAACAGTCCTCCTAAAAGTCAAATTAAATGATACATCCATTCTTAGGAGGAAGGAAATAGCAACCTATTTATAATTAATGTGAGAAAATTATTTCTCTCTGGATAAAATGAGATTTATACAAGTCTCAAGTGTGCATTAGAAAAGAGACAAAAAAGAGAGAGAGAGAGTGTGGTAAGGGAAAGTGTTTTTGTAATATGTTGGAATGAGTCCACACAACTTGTATTGCTCATATTTTCACCTTTACAGGCATAACTGCAGCTGAACAGTCATTAGGAACTGTGTGGTGCTTTATCTTCTCCAAGGGCATTACTCACCTTCAGGTCCCGATGGACTACGCCCATCTGATGGCAGTGTAGCACAGCCTCCAGGATCTGCTGAATGCAATGACTGCATGCAAACACCAGGGGGCGTGTGTTAGTTCCAAGCTTACACTCACTGTCTGTATACCCTCAGAGAGACTGGGTTAAAGTGCAAAACTAGCAGACAACTGGGGATGTATTTTACCACCTCCAGTAATGTAAACATATTGCTCAAGTAGAGTGACTACTACCTCAGAACAATCAGGATCTTGCCAGATGTGTGCCAGAATGTGGGATCTACTTGTAGAAAAATCCATCTTGAAAATATTTCATTTAATGTAGGAAGTCATTTCCTGGTTATCAATTCTTACAGGAAATGGACTGGAAAACAAATATCATTTTTATGGCTGTGGTTCTCCACGCCACATCCCCAACAAAAAACTCTGTTTCCCTGCTCTCTCTCATTTTTCTAGTGTCATTCCACAAGCTGTGACATCAGCAGTCAAGGCACCATTAAGGTTAAATTAGGATACGTAATGAAGTTTTGATAAATCATTAACTTCTTGTGGTTTAATTTAGCTGGCAATTATTATCTCTTGCCTGAGGGTTCATCAGACTCAAATGGAGCAACGTGTAACCAGTTGTTCTGCTACAGCAACCCATGGTCTCAGAGCAGAAGTGGTGTTTAAATCTACAGGCGGACATACATCACAGGCCAAGTTTATCCCCAGGCAAATGTTAGATAATTCAAGAAAGCGTGCCCCCAAACCGCCTTTGGTGGGTTACTGCTTGGAACCTTAGTGGGTTATATTCTTAATATTGTCCTTCCTTTTTTGCTATGATGTATATGTAGCCTGTAGATGAGCAAACTGAAAGAGGCATCATGCATTATCATTTCATCATTTAGTTGTTTTAGGGAAAAGTTGGAAAAGGCAAGGGGACCATTATAAATACCCACCCTCTGCCCTTTTTCCAGAAAAAAACCAAAACAAATAAAAAACCTCCTTTGATTCAGATTTATGGACTCCATATACTGACCTTCAGGTCCCTGTGAACTATGCCATTTAGGTGACAATGATTTACACTTTCTAGAATCTGCTGTATACAATGACTGTAAAGATACAAGGGCAGAATGGAAGGGAGAACATTTTAAAGGTACATAATCACATTGGATACAAAATAAAATGAAAGTTCAAACAAAACAAACAAACAAAAAATTACATTTTTCACATATTTTTAGCTTTACACTAGAATTGAATAATGCTGAATAAAGCTAATTCTGGTTCTAACAAAAATGACATCCAACACAGAATTTGTGACATGTTCAGATAAAACAATTTGAGTTGTGTTTTTTTATTACAAGTCTACAAATTAAATCATATGTACAGAGAAGTTGAAATTTTCATATTCAGGAAGAAAAATTTATAAATTTATAATTCCCATAATTATCTGGAAAAATTCTTCAAAGCTATAGAATTTATAAGTATTTCTCATACACATCTAAACTGTTTAAAATCTGAGGTCACAATTAAACATAGGTGTTGAAACAAGAGGGTAAATAAACAGATGAAGTGGCAGGTGAAACAAGGGTTAAAAAAATGGAGGAACACATTTACCATTGTGACTTGGAAGGAGTGCTTCTTATCTAACATATTGATGCAAATCCCCAACAACAGAGGGAGAATTTAAAGTAAATTCATGACATAAAACAAACGCCTCTTCAGTACAGAAATACTTCAGGGAAGGGCTAGGAATCTTGTAAAAAATAATATTTAAAAATCCTCTGGAACACTGGTAATTGTTGAACACATTTCCATGTATCTCAACTGAGGAAAACCTTTGTCTACGACTGTGTCAAAATGTATAACTTATACCATTTTTATTAAGGCTCACTGATGTCAAGTAGACTAATTAAATTAGAGGAAAGAAGTCATTGATTGGCACCTACAAGGTCCCATGAGCTGTCATCTGACATACAATAACGTAGAACATGTCACCCTGATGAATTTTGTAAAAGTTCACTGTGCAATTCAAATGCAGGTATGCACAGAACTACATTCATTCAAGTATTAAGCAAACATTTTAATAAGGATATTTTCAACCATTTAATATATAAAATAATATTCCTCCAAAGTAAATTTGTGAATTTAAAAAGCAATCATCTGTTTTATGACAACATTAATGTCAAAACAGTGATGACTGTGCTTTTCCAGCTGTAACTCCATTAACAGAACCAGTAAACAGCTTCACACTGGTTGTTTTTGACTGAATAGCTTATTTGGGTGTTAGTAATTATTTTTTTAATCCTATGACTCTTTTTCTTCCATAATAATGTTTATTTCATACTGCTTTTTAGGGATATTTCTCTTTCTCTTCTGAAAACAAAGGTCTAAGTTATTGAGCCTAGGGAATAATAGAAAATAAAGAAGAAAACAACTCATATTCCGTGAACTTTCTCGTTTTTTTCACTAGTGATGATGGATTCTTAACTTCTTGGGGACTAGTAAGAAAACTGACATTAAGAAATTACCTGAGGAATTTTCTCTTTATGCTTGTAGTTGGGAAGAGAATGTTTCCTCTTGTTTTTGTGTGGGACCAGGGACGGATTACCCAATAAGCAAGGTACGCACAGGCTTACTTGTGCTTGCTGACTAATATGTAGTGCACAATTTCACCTGTTTCACACCACAGCAAGGATGTATTGAAGCCCAAGTGAAATTGTGCACTATAGACTAGTAAGTAAACACAATTAAGCCCGTAAGCCTGTGCATATCTTGCTTACTGGTTAATCTGCTCCTGTGTGGGATCGATCCTAAAATATATCCCACGATTAATTAACAAACTTATTACCAGCATGCATATTAAATGGTACAACCCATAGGGTCTATCCTTTAGGGCTCTTTATAAAGGTGAAAACAGTCTCTTTTCTAATTTCAACCAATAATCTTCAAACATTATGACAATCCGTTTAATGTAACTTTGAAAGGTAATAAAATAACAAATACAATTCCCTAACTTGTTTTACTGCCTTGATCAAAACTATTACTGTCTCTTGGCAAGTGGGCAAATAGCTACTTCCAAGGCTGCTCTGAAACCCCTTTTCAGAGGCTTAATATGAGGATTTGGGGGTAAGGTGAATCAAACAAGTAAGGACTCACTTGTCATAGTGTAAGTAGCATGGGACTTTTTATTTGACTTTGGCAGTAAAAATTCCATTACAAATTAGAGTGTAGTCATGTATAGACAGATTCACAGAATGCCATAAACAGTGGCATTAAACCAAGAAAATAAATTCGAAATATGGAAATTTGCCTCTGTATGTATGCAAGTACTATTATGAGGAATGAGGTGGGGAGCCTCACTATCAGCTGAGTATCTACTGAGGATCAGACTACAGTGAGATTAGCAAGCCTTCAGAAGCTCAGAAAGCATTAGAGAATGAGGGCAGATAGTCAATAACTCAATTTTCATCACATCTCATTCACACGAGACAATCACTCACACCTAGATAACCAGATTTTTCAAAATAAGTGCCAACTACAGAATATATGGAGTCCCTGGGTGGTACAAATGGTTTACATGGTTGGCTTCAAACCAAAAGGTTGGAGGTTCGAGTCTACCGGAGGTGCCTTGTAAGAAAGGCCTAGTGATCTACTTCCAAAAACTCAGCCATTGAAAACCCCATGGAGCACAGTTCTACTCTGACACACATGAGGTTGTCATGTGATGGACTCTACAACAACTTGTTTGTTTGTGTTTTTTATAGAATATATGTAAGGAATGCTGAGGAAAATTAGAACCATATAGTCTAAATAATATCTAAGCCAATGAATTAGTGTTACTTCACTCCAAAAACAGTGCCTTTGTGTAGTCTAGGAAGTTTCAACTTAGATACAATGTTTGCCTGTTTTAACCTCTGTAACGATTTTGTCAACTAATGAGATTGATAAATCACTCACTTGACCCTCTGAAATACATAGATACTTTACAAGTCAGAGTTCCAAGGGTTTTAATGGAATTTCCAAAGAGTTAAACAGTTAATAATAATGATTTAAGGAGACCACTCGGGCTTTTTTCTATCTGCTTCTTTTTATGGACTCTGATTAGACATGCGGTATTCAATAAAATTTTCCATAATGATGGAAATGTTCTATATCTGCTGTGTCCAACTGGTAGGCACAAGCCACTTATGGCTAATAACCACTTGAAATGTGGCTAGCTCCACTGAGGAACTGCATTTTTACCTTTAATTAATTTAAACTGAAATTGAAACAGCCACATATGACTGGTGACTATCACACTGGGCAGCCCAGACTAGAAGATCTCAATCTTTGATCTTTGTTAAAAAAGTATATTTATTTAGCAGAAGTTATTCATTAGGCTTTTTTTCTTTTGCTTCTTATAAAAAGAGGCAATCAAACTCTAAATGCTAGATAAAAATAAAGTTTACACCATATTTATAGATTTTTTTTCCCCCAAAGAATCCTGAAGATCCTTAGGGACAGAAATACCAATTAAGATGGACTGATCATGAAAAGAAGTCCAAGATGGTATTACGAGATTCTCATAAATACTAAAGCTTCATGATTCATTTGTAAAGAAATATATCCAACAAGTGTCATCTGAATGCTGAGTCTTGTGTCTAGCCCAGGGCAAGTCACTTACCTGGCATCAGCTTCACTGTAATACTCCCTTGCCACTATGTCCTCAAACAGTTCACCTCCAGTGACTCTGTAAAGACAAATAAGATATACACATAAAAAAGAAAAGACAATTAGGGATTATTAGGCGTGCAACTGTTGTTAGTTGCCATCGAGGAGAACTGCTCCATCGGGTTGTCAGGGCTGTGACCTTTCGGAAGTAGATCACCAAGCCTGTCTTCCGAGATGCCTCTAGGTGGTTTCAAACCGCCAAACTTTTGGCTAGCAGTCAAGTGCCTGAACATTTGCTCCAACCAGGGACCAATGTTCATAAATCATTTTTATTCTCATCAGATTCTTTTAAGAAATTATTATCAAAATACAAAGTATTTTAAAAAATCATGAGACAAGTTTCATAATAATCTAACCTATGTTAATCCAAATATTTCCATCTTTTCTATTTGTATTACTAGATCTTGAAGACACAATTTTCTATAACTATAGCCAGTGTTATCTCTTACAGATACTGGTTTCTATGAAAGTCTTTGTTTCAAGTCTGCAAATGTTAATTTTGGTCTGACAAAATGTGTGGAAGAGGTTGGGAGCATTTTCTGAGGACAGAGTAGAACTACCCCATAAGATTTCCAAGGAGCAGCTGGTGGATTTGAACTGCCAACCTTTTGGGTAGCAGCCAAACACTTAATCACTGCGCCACCAGGGCCCCTTCTGAACAAAAAGATAAGATATATATCAGGGCTGTTGAGACGAGTTTGCAAGTTCTTTCTCTCTGGAACAGTCATTTTTTAAAATTGCCCTGAACATGTTCTATGTACTAGAAGCAGCCCTGTAAAATATGTATCTCTTTTTATACTATGGCCTCCATTTCCTTTATGTTCTATGTATTTGTCAGTGTACAAGACTTAGGGCTTTTGCTAATGTCCTGGGAGGCAGCAGTGATACCTTAACCACTGGGAAGGAGCCCTATCTGTCTGCCCTCTTTAGTGCGGACTTTCCCACAACTCAGTGACTGGATTTGTTAATTCAGGAAGTTTCTTCAAACCCTGGGTTTCTAGATTCTCTAAATAAGGAAATGTGGTCATCTCTGGAATTTATTTCTTCTCCTGGTCTAAAAGATCGCTGCTCTTGTTCCAGAATTCCCTAACCAGTGGTTTAGGATTAAAAAACAAAAAGAAACAAACAAAAACTCTGGGTTTTTAAATTTCAAAGTAATACAGTTTTATAGTAAAATTCAAGCCATACAGACAGTGCTAAGTATTCCTCTAATCTCCGCCCCCAAGTCCACTCTCCCAAATGCACTAAGTTTTATGTAAATCCTTTCAATATAGTTTTGTGTTTATCTCTAAGCATATCTACTTATCTCCTTGCAAACACACACATACACTTTTCTCACAAAACTGGGATCATGCAATATATATAAATTATTACATTAATTGTACGTTTCATTTTACACCGAATTACCACTGTTTCATGTCAGAAGACTTTTCCCCTATTTAAAATAATATAGCAATGAATGAGGATAATGCATGCATGTATGTGTGTGTGCGTGTGAGAATATTTATAGAGGATATATTCTTAGAGGTGAAATTGTTGGGTCAACGTGTATCCATATTTACATTTTTTTTTGAAAGATAGAGCAATTTGCACTCCAAAATGGATTGTACCGCCAACATTTTTAAAGCGCCCACAGGCCTATATCATTCCTAATAATGGTTATTATCAATAAACAAAAATGCTTAATTGGAAAAAAAATCTCATGTTAATATGAACTGTTAATTATTAGTAAAGTGGACCATTTTTCTCATGTATTTACACCCATTTCTTCCTCTGCTAGGATCTGACTTGATTTTAAATGGAAATTTCAGCTTTGAGGTTTAACTTTGTAATAGCAACATCACAAAGTACTTACCATGTGCCACACAGTGTATTAATCACTATTGTTGCTGTTATTGTCTGTCATCGAGTCCATTTTGACTCATAGTGACCCTATGGGACAGAGTAGAATTGCCCCATAGTGTTTCCAAGGCTGTAATCTTTATGGAAGCAGACTGCCATATCTTTATCCCACGGAGCGGCTGGTTGTTTGAACCACTGACCTTTCCGTTAGCAGACTAGCGCTTAACCACTGCACCACAAGGGCTATATAACATTATTACCGGTAATCCTCACTATTACCCTCTGAAATGGGTATTACCATTAGCCTAGTTTATTGATGAGAAAATAGAGGAACAGAAAAGTTAAGTAACTTGCCCAAGATTGCACAGCCTTAAGTGGCACAGGCAGGCAATCGAACTCCATAGCCTGTGTTCTCAATCACTACACAATGCAGCCTTTCCAATTATTACACTGTCAATCTTTCCAGAAGTTTAGAAGGCGTACATCATTTGAAAAAGCAACAAATGGAGGTATGAAGTTGGCCTATGTACACTACAGAGTGTGAGATAAAAATGACCCCAGCATTTTGTTTGTTCATTTGTTTAGTTTTTTGTCTTACTAAGTTCTAAACCATCGTCAAATGATAGCATGTTCTGGAGATCACCGGTTACTATTCTCTATCTCTATTCTCCTTTCCTAATGGAAAAGATGGGATATTGCAAACTGTAAATTTGTCTGAAAATTTACGCAAACTTTTTTTCCCCTCTCCATAGCGTTCTGGATCCTTACAAACCCTTTAATGCTGGAGTCATTATTTTCAATCCTATTGTTTTTATATATAAAATGGGTACCTAAATTCACTTATTTAAAGCTTTGTATGGGTTTATTCTGAAAACCATGATTACATTTACATGTAATTTCATTTAACAGCATAGCTGGGGTTTTTTTCTCCCCCAATTAGAATCTGTAATAATAACATTGACTATAACACAAAGTATGCTAGATAAATTATACCAAACAAAGATAAAAAACACTTCCAATAAATCCATCATTGTCTCTATAATGACGAAAATAGGACAAAGAAATACTTTTAAGTTTTGTGGGATTTCATACTTTGAATGTGACTAATGTAGATATGACATATTCATAATTTATCTCTGTTTTTGACCACAGGTATCCTAGAAAACCTGAACCTTGTAAATAATTCTGGAGTGTCAAAGTATTTAAAAAATATTTAGTAAAAAGTCTACTGTCATTAATAAAATTATAGTTGCTTATAGTAATTCCTTAAACTCACTGTTTACCCCATGAGAACTGTCAGACCCTGGACAGCTGAGATCTTGACTTACTGATCTGTTATCTCAGCACCTAACCCAGCATCTGACATATGATATTTGCTCAATTAATGACTATTGAAATACCATTAAATGAATGAATCTAGTCAGAAAATCATGCTACTCATTTACTTAAGTCTGGACTTTACATGCAGTTAAAAAAAAAAAACCCCAAAGTTTAGCTATGCATGGCATTAGGTCTTAGGTTATTTTGTTTTTGTTTTTTTTAATTATCAGCAAGATTTTAATATTTGTTTATAGTTTACAGAGGTAAAATTTATATACAATGAGGTGCACAAATCTTAAACATACCATCTGGTGAGATTTGACAAATGCATACACTTTCTGTAACAGAATTCCTTATTAAGACACAGAATTTTACAGTCACCTAATATGTTCTTTCATGTTTACTGCAAGTCAATCCCTGACCCATCTTTCAGAAGCAATACATTTTGTGATGTTTTTCCACCATAGGTTAGTTCCGTGTTGAGAAAGTTCATGTAACGGACTCATGTAGAACAGGGTTTGGCCAACTATGGCCCATGGAACACATCAGATTGTGACTTGTTTTTCTTTAGCCCATGAGCTAAAATGAATTTTACATTTTAAAAGGGTTGTTTAAAACACAGACAGAGGTATATGCAACAGAGACTACGTATGTGGCCCAAAAGACCTGATATAATTACTACATCTCCTTCTAGTAAAACAATTTTGCTGACTATTGATATAGAATGCATTCTTTTGTGTATGGCTTTGTTCACTCAGCATAACGCTTTTTAGTTTTATCCATGTTGTTGCATGTATTAATAGTTTTTAAAATATTTTTTATTCAGCTGCTTACCAAAAGGTCAGCAGTTCGAACCCACCAGCCACTCTGCAGGAGAAAAGACCTGGCAATCTGTTCCCATAAAGATTACAGCCTAGGAAACCCTGCAGGGCAGGTCTACTCTGTCCTATGAGTCTGAATCAACTTGATGGAACACAACAACAACAATCCTACTGTATGAATATATGGTAGTTTGTTCAGCCATTGTCCTGTTGAGGACACCTGGGTCTTATTTCTTAAAGGGTTTATATTTAAAGAAGAGCATTAAAATGTCAGCAGGCCTAGCATTCTAGTGATTTTCAAAGAACTATATAATAGCTATTAAACAAATTTAAGGGGTGTAGTTTCATGCTGAATTTTAGATTATATAGTTTAAATCTGTCCTTGGCAGCACTCTTTCATCTTTTAGCATTCATTCTTCTCATTATTTAAAAATATCCTAATGCAAATGAAACAATTTTTATCATTTATGCTGTGTATATGTTAAATGTCTAGGATGGAAAAAATGGAGTTCTAACAGAACATACCACTTTAAAAGACAAACTATTGAATTTACTGTAACACATTTCTATACTCACATTACTACTTAGTAGAGCGCAGAATTAAGTGGTACTTATTACAAATTCTTTGAGAATTTTTAGTGTGCTATGTGAAAATTCATACAAAACCACAAATTAAATCAGTCTCATGAATAAACTGTTGCATTAATTAACTAATTAGAGATTTTGTGAATAAATTGGTGCCAGAGTTCTGCTGTGACATCAGGCATATCAATTACAGATTTGAAACATTAATTACAATTTACAAATATGTAGAACATCACATTTTACAGGAAAAAAAATTCTAGAACCATGAAAAGATGATACCCCATGTACCAAAAAGATAAATAATTTTGTTATTGCTATTATTTACAAGGATATTTGTTCATACTGTGCTATCTTTCAGAATGAATTTTCTTTTGTTTGTAGTCTACATCTTTGTGACATATCAGAAAAGGTTGAAGATACTTTCATTATGAATAAAAAATTTGAAAATTTT